AAAAAAAAAAACAAAAAACCAAAAAAAAAAAACAACAAAAAAAAAAAAAAGAAAAAAAAAAAAAAGAAAAAAAAAAGAAAAAAAAAAAATTGCACAATTTTCTCTGCCCCCTCATTCCCCTTTTCTTTTGAGACAATTTATGGCCTGTAAAACATTTCCTTTTCAGAAAATCTAATTTGCAATGTCCAAAGCAAAGCCCTAGGGCTTGGGGAGGGGGTGGCTCCTTTATTCCTCTGGTCTTCCCTCTCCCCTAGCTGCTCCATCCCTTCCCTTCCTGCAGACGTGTAGGATGGGGTTAGACTGGGGTTGGACCCTGCTAATGAAGCTGATGCCTGCCCAGATAGTGTTCCCCAGGGCTGGGAGATGCCCTGGCTCCACAAGGTCCTGATTTTATGGGAGTGCTGGGGGCACAATGCCCCACTGAGCTGCTCCAGGTGCCGGATAGTGTCCCCCATCCTCAGCCACAGGCACGGGAAGCAGCAGGACTCCCGGGGCTGGGACCCCACTGGGGACTGTGCACTGCTCACAGCAGCCCAGCCTGGTGCTCAACATTCCCAGCAGCACAACCAAGGGCCAGGTCCTGCTCTCCTGGGACTCGGAGGACAGCTGGACCTCCAGACTGGCAAACCCTTCTTGGGACCACGCCAGCCCAGCACTCAGCACGCTCATGGGCCAAATCCTGCCGTCCTCGGGCTCCCAGAGAGGCTCAAAAAGCTTCTCTCCCAGCTGGATGTGGGCACAGGAATTTGGGGTGATTGCATCTGTGTTCAGTCTAGGACAGGGACGTGCACAGTGCGAGTGCCAGCCCAGGCAGGGGATGCTGCTGCCTCCTGCGTCCCCAGACTGCGATGTGTTGGAAGCAGCTCTGCAATCCCCTCCCAGCCATCACCGCGGGGTGCTGAGCCCAGGCGTGCCAGTCTGTCTGTCTGTCCCTGCCGGGCTGTGTCCACAGGCACAGAGGGCCCTATCGGCGTGTACACCATGTGTGTGCTTCGTTCGCTGCCCAGCAGCAGGCAGCTCTGCATTTGGAGTTTGCCGGGGTCCGATCTCCCAGTCCCTGCCCTGAGCGTGAGCGGGGCGAGGCCGGGGCTGGCCGCGGGGTGTGGAGGCGGCGGGGGCTGCACGGACCCTTCAGGACGGGAGCGCTGGGTGTCAGCATCGAGCCAGACCCGGAGCCGGCACAAAGCTGCCAGAGCAGCTCCTCCGATCGCTTCATGACAAATAAACGGATTAAACCCCCGGCATTGCTCCTGCGTCCCTGTTTTCCCCATTCCCACGAGTTGCTGACGGAGGGGGTCTGGGATGCTGGCCTTGGCCACGGTGCAATCCCACATTCCCCAACTCTGCAGCTTGGGTCTCTGTGGGGGACATCCTGCCCTGGCCCCCCAGCACTGGGGTACTGGGGAAATATCTCGTTTCAAGTTTTTATTTAAAGTACCACCAGCATCACTCATTGCCTGAGCCAGCACTGGGACAAGCGGCAAGTGTGACACTGGGACGGCCATTCCGTGGGATTGGGAGCCACCAGGGTTTTTTTCTGGCTATTGGAGAAAATCCCCCTTTGTTAAGATGCTTGGGCATCCCCTTGGCAGCCTGTCCCCACCACTGGGATGTCTTCTCCTGGGGGACACAGCCGAGATCCTGTCCCAGCACATGGGCTGGCAGACGTGGTGACCCCGGTTCTGCTCAGAGTCCATCAGCCCCCGACAGACCCCCGGCCTGGGATCTGGGCACGCCGAGCCCGGCGCAGTCTGGCTGTGTCCTGCCAAGCTCTGCCTGGGACACAGCCCTCCTCCTGGTCCCCACGGGCTCATCCCATGGCCAGAGCAGCAAAATCCAGGCCTGGCTCCCGCTGGCATTATAAATAGCCGGGACTGGGGAGGGAGCTGTGCTGCCTGGGATGGGGGTGCCTGGGTGTGGTGAATCCCAGCGGGTGCTGATCGGGGGGACTCGCTGGGTGCAGGGCTGGGGGATGAGAGGGCTCGGTGCTGCCGTGGCCCGGTCCACCCCGGGATGTGCAATGAGTTCTGCAGAGAACGGCCGGGGGCAGAATGGGGCTGTGAGTGTGTGTGAGTGTGTGTGTGCGAGAGAGAGAGAGACATTTATAGATCACGTGTGAAACTTGATCTCCCCGCAGTGGACTCAGAGGAAAGAAAAAAGATAGAAGTATTGTTTTTAAACAGATTTTTTTCCTTTGTTTTTGTTTTTGTTTTTTTTTTTTTCCTCCCCTCTCCCCCTTCGAGGGCTGCCGATAAAAGGCCGGGGCGGCCAGCGCCGGCTCAGAGGGAGGAAATGCCGAAATCGCCGCGGCTGGAGGCGGCGGGGAGCGCCCACTGACCCATCCCGGCACGGAGCAAGCTGCCGGCGCATCCCCCGCCCTGGCAGCCCGGCCCCGCGGGGACCCCCGAGCCATGTGGGCGCTCAGCCTCGGCCTCATGGCCCTGACCTGTGCCACGACGGCTCTGTGCGCTGCTGGAGCCCAGCGCCGGGCTCTGGAGGGCGGCGGCCGCCGGCGCTACCACCGAGTGCAGCACGGCCACTGCAGCTACACCTTCGTGCTGCCCGAGACCGACCCCCTGCCCTGCCCTGCCCCCGGCCCGGCCGGCGTGCTGCTCCAGCGGGACTCGCCGGCTGGAACCGCCGGGCACGGGGCTGCCCAGCGCCTGCGGCACCTCGAGAGGATCCTGGAGAACAGCACCCAGTGGCTGCGGAAGGTAGGCTGTGGGATGTGGGGGGACGAGCAGCGAGCCGGTGTGGGCAGGGATATGTGTCCAGCACCCACTCGTGCAGCATCCGTGTGGCGCAGCTGTGGGCATCGGGGTCTGTGCCCACCTGAGCATCCAGGTCAGCTTTTCTCTGCAGGTGTGCAGCTGGCATCAGGCACTGTCTGCACTGCTGTGGGTTCTGCTGTGGGTGCTGCAGCTCATGCGTGCCGCAGATCACTCACCCAGATCACTTCCCATTGAGGCTGTATTCCCTGTCCGTCCTTGCCATGGTCCTGGCTGGGTTAGCTGTGCCGAGCATCCCTTGGGGATCAGCATTCCAAGTTCTGGGCGAGGAGATTGGGAAGGAGTTTGGCAATGGTCCCAAGGCCAGGGGCCACCAGAATCTCTCCAGCTTCATCATTTTCCCTTTTACAAGCTCCCAGCACTCGGTGAGCCTTTGTGTGGGACCCATGGCTACTGGGTGGTCTGTGAGTGGTGCACGGCGGGAGCAGTGGGGTGCCACACCAGAGGGGCTGTGTACCCACAGGGTTGCCACCCCCAGCCCCCACTGGCTTGCCCCATCCCCAATGCCTGAGGCAGGAAGCAGCATTTCCTTCCTGGAGCCCCCTCCAGCTGAGTGCAACTGCCTGCGTCAGACCCAGGAATAGCTCATCCCTAGGGACACATCCCTGGGGGGCCCTCAACCCCACAGCCCGTGCCAGGAACACTGGGTACCTGCACTGATAAGAGGAGAAGCAGCTTGTCCCCAGCTGTCACTGACCCAGCAGAGCCACATGCACGTCCCATGGTGTCCCACCAGGCTGCAATGGGACCTGTGTGCCTCTGCACTCCTGTTTCCTGGGTGATGTCCCCGTGCCGAGCTCCTGCAGCCCTCAGGGATCAGAATGGGGCCCACACACTGAGTGGGGTCCCAGGGATGGCCTGTGCCAGCCACACTGCTTGGGTAGCCACCCTGACTATGGGGGACAGTGCAGGCAGCAGGGACGTGCAGGATGTTGTTCCTTGTCCCCTCAGCCATCCTAGAGAACAAATTCCTCAAGAGCTGGGAAAACACTGAACCGTGGCTCTGCTGGAAGCCATCCCAGAGTGTTGCAGAGGGGTCAGCAGTGACAACCTGGCTGGTGGCACTGAATCTCTGTCAATGTGGAACCTGCTGGGTGCTCACAAGTCCTGGGGCCCCTGTGCCCCCTTTGCCCTCAGCTCTCTGTCTTGGTGTCCCTGTGCTCTGCTGTCTTTGTGCCCTGTGTGCCCAGGCCAGCTCTGAGCTTCCCTTGGGATGAGGGCAGCCTTTGTATGGCCAAGCAAGGCAGGGCACCAGGGTCCCACCACAGGTGCACGTGGTTCTGTCCAGAGCTGACAGCCACAGGGAAAATGGGACTGCACATCTGGGCAGCTGTGGGCAGCAGTGCACCTCACCACAGCCCCAAGGAGCACAAAAGAGTGGAGCACTGGGCAGCCAGTACCCCATTCCTTCCCCATCCCCATCCTGTTCCATCCATCCATCAAAACAATCCCATCCCACCCCATCCCATCCTGCAGCATGGCTCTCCTTTAGAGGCAGCTTGTGGCTATGTTTTTTGCTGTTGTTCCTCGGCTTCCCAAATTTCAGCAGAGCTGCCCAAGAACGCTTATTTTGGTCAGACTCCAGCCCTGAACAAACAAACGAGGGCTCGAAAGAGGCGTTGGGTTCAGGGACAGATCGTAAACAACGTTGCATCCCTGTCTGCTTTGCCCTGGCACAGGGAGCCCTGCAGGGTGCTGAGAAACTGGGAGGTCTCCTGGTACCCAGAAGGGTTCCCCAGGCCCCCCCAGGCATCCCCAGCACCGGCCTCCCCCAGGACCCCCATCCATGGCACTGAGGGGCTGGCCCACTGTCCCCACTCAGCACCCCTTGGTGGGGACATGGCGAGGACCCAGCACACAAGGACACATCAGCTGCTTCTGTCTCAGGAGGAATTAATTTTAGTTCAAACACAAACACTTGATGGTGCCACTGGGTCTAGCGGGGGACT